GTCTCGAAAAACGAAAAAAAAAAAAACACAAAAAACCAACCCAAAAACCAACCAAACAAACAAAAACCTAGCCAAGAGGTTGGTGAGGAAAAGTGCCTCACCCTTCTCCCTCTCCTACGCTGGAGAGCCAGCAATACAGACTGGACTAACTGTACACAGAGTGATGTGGAAGGAAGCCTCGTAAACTCACCAGAGGAGTCACGAAAAAGTGTGTTCCAGGTAGGAAAGAATGTGGAAGTTTGAAGAACTGGGAGATTCCACTGAGCAGAGTCTGGTACCTGTCAGGAGGACTGAAGCGAGATGGGTGGTGAGTGTTGGGCTGGAGCCATCTTAGACTGTGGCAGGGAGTGTGGGTCTCAGTTCCAAGTGGAATGCTGTGGGGAAGCAGGTGCTCTGATAGCAGTTTGTATTTTGAGGTAGAGAACCGGCCTTACACCCAGGAGAGAGACAAGGAAGCAGAGGCCAAGAGACAAAGGCCGCTAGGAGGATGCTCTGAACACTGGGGTGGCCCCGTAGGTAAAAGAGACGTGGTGCCCCTTTGTTCGGTTCGGATGCCAACATCCCACAGAGGAAACGAAACCCCAGCACTTCTCCTCCGTGTGGCTCATTTCCCTTCCTGAGACCACACCTCCACCTCTCTCTGGGAAGTGTTGGCTTCCTGATTCCTGGGCCAGGGTACATTGAAGGTGGAGAAAGAGAATGTAGGACCCAGTATTGGTGAGGTCATCCTCTGCACAGAGCAGCACCTCAGTCCTAGCAGGGGCAAGGTGTCTCCCAACCTCAACCCTTGAGACAGAAGCTCTGCTCCTGGCCCTACCCCAACACCTCCTCCCAGGTCTTGGAAAAGCAAGGCTTCTCACCTTCTTTCGCAGGGCCTTCCATCGTGTGAAGTCGTGCAGAAGGATTCCTTGGTACACACAATCATTTTACGACTTACTAAAAAGGAAAGCAAGTTTGCACAGCAATGGGATGAAGGTGCCTGTTTATTTCTACAGAAAAAAAAATTGAAATCTTGCTGGATATTTGATGCTGTAGGACATAGGGCACCATCAATGTTGATCAGAGTTGATGGGTATTTTGAGTTTAAAATCATCAATGGTGTGAGCATCATTTCACATAAATGCATAGTACAGAAAGTGGCGGAAGTATGTTTAGGGCCATTTCAGAAATTGTTGTAAATTCTGTCCTAATCCTAAGACAAAATTAATGTTTTCATTTTGAGACAGGGTTTCATAAAGTAACCCTAGTTGGCTATGTAGATCAGGTTGACCTATGTGAGCAAAATTTTCTTCCATCAAAGGTAGCTAAGCCCGCTGAGGACAAATATTCTATAAATCTCCCCAACTTTGTAAAACTCCATGCCAATCTTTTGTTTGTTTTTGAGAAAGGGTCTCTCTAGGTAGCCCTAGCTGTCCTGGACTTCTCACATAGACCAGGCTGGCCTTGTACTCACAGAGATCCACCTGCCTCTGCTTCTGGATTCTGCAGGAGCTAATGCAGAGGCCATGGAGGAACACCTCTAGCTTGCTCCCTATGATTTGGTCAGTCTCCTTTTCTTTTTTTCTTTTCTTTTCTTCTCTCTCTCTTTCTTTCTTTCTCTCTCTCTCTTTCTTTCTTTCTTTCTTTCTTTTTTTTCCAAGATAGGGTTTCTCTGTGTAGGCCTGGCTGTCCTGGAACTCACTCTGTAGACCAGGCTGGCCTCGAGATTTCTTTCCTTTTTTTTTTTTTTATTTTTGTTTTTTGTTTGTTTGTTTTTGTTTTTTGAGACAAGGTTTCTCTGTGTAGCTTTGGAGCCTTTCCTGGAACTCACTCTGTAGCCCAGGCTGGCCTCGAACTCACAGAGATCCACCTGCCTCTGCCTCCTGAGTGCTGAGATTGTTTTCTGTTTTGCTTGGTTTGAGTCAGGGCTTCTCTCTGTAGCTTTGGCTGTCCTAGAATTTTTTTTTTTTTTTTTTTTTTTTTTTTTTGGTTTTTCGAGACAGGGTTTCTCTGTGTAGCTTTGCGCCTGTCCTGGAACTCGCTTTGGAGACCAGGCTGGCCTCGAATTCACAGAGATCCGCCTGGCTCTGCCTCCCGAGTGCTGGGATTAAAGGCGTGCGCCACCACCGCCCGGCTAGAATTTACTATATAGACTAGGCTACATCTGCCTCCCAAGTGCTGGGATTAAAGGTGTGGGCCACTACATCTGGCTATCAGTCTGCTTTTTTTGTTTTCTTTTTGTTTGTTTGTTTGTTTGTTTGTTTGTTTTTTGATTTACTTATTTATTATGTATACAGTGTTCTGCCTGCATTTATGCTTGCAGGCCAGAAGAGGGCACCAGATCTCATTACAGATGGTTGTGAGCCACCATATGGTTGCTGGGAATTGAACTCAGGACCTCTGGAAGAACAGCCAGTGCTCTTAACCGCTAAGCCATCTCTCCAGCCCCCTTGTTTGTTTGTTTTTAAGACAGGGTTTCTCTGTGCAACAGTCCTGGCTGTCCTGGAACTGGCTCTGTAGATCAGGTTAGCCTTGAGCTCAGAGATCTGCCTGCTTCTGCCTCTTGCATCACCACTGCCTGGCCAGTCAGTTTTCTTACACCGCCCCAACCACTGTCCAGGGGTGGCACCATCCAGAGTGGGCTGGGCCCTCCTACATCAATCATTAATCAAGAAAATGCAGATGGGCCTACAGGCACTCTGATGGCAGTGTTTTCTCAACTAAGGCTCCTCTTCCCAGAGCTGGCAAAGAACAAATGGGGCACCTACTTACACGCTGCCATGTAAGAAGGGCAGAGGAAATACTAAGTCTTTGTTTTTTGACTCAAATCACTATGTTTTTTTTATAAGAGTAAAAAATTTTGTACATTAAAATCACAGCATTTCATTAACCATCAGTAATCTCAAATTACAGCTGAAGTGTTGTAGGTAATCTTCATTGGCAGTGCGAACGTGGTGTGGCAGCATGCACAGTGCAAAGTATGCATGTTGTGTGCTCACAGCCAAGGCCGAAGTGACATTTCAGGGTGCAACATGGGCAAGGGCTGCCAGACACACCTTAGAGATGTTGGAATTTGAATTAATTTTTAGTTGTTACATATTCAGAAACTTTATATTGTTGCCACCCACATCCAGTTACACAAATGTATTAGTCAGGGTTCTCCAGAGGACCAGAACCAATAGGGTGTATCTCCCCCCAAGCCCCCCTCCCACGTGTGTGTGTGTGTGTGTGTGTGTGTGTGTGTGTGTGTGTGTGTGTGTGTGTATGGGATTTATTAGAGTGGCTTACAGGCTGTGGCCCATCTAGTCCAACAATGGCTGTCTACTAACAAAGTCCAAGAATCCAATAGTTATTCAGTCCATGACGCCAGATGTCAGTTGGTCTTCAGTATATGTCGGGAGTCCCAGCGTAGGCTCTAATGCCCGTGACAGAAAGCCTGTGCAGCAGGATCCGTGAGAATGAGGGCAAGTAAGCAAAAAGCAAAAGCTTCCTTCTTCCATGGTCTTTACATCGGCTGCCAAGAGAAGGTGTGGCCAGATTTAGGGTGGGTCTTCCTACCTCAGATGATCCAGTTAACTGAAAATCCCTCACAGCTGTGCCAGCTGCTTGGGTTTTCAGTTCATTCCAGCTGCAGCCATGTTGACAACTAAGAATAGCCATCACATACCACCCAGTTTAAGAACAGAATACTTGCCATTGTGCTCCTGAGTGGTGGCAACTCCCTTAGAGCTGAGTGAGGGTTGTGGGGTTGAGGTAGAAATAGAGGCCATTTTTATTTCTATCACATGACGTAAGAGTTCTGTATTAAAATCCTACTATAGCCGGGTGGTGGTGGCACTCGCCTTTAATCCCAGCACTCAGGAGGCAGAGGCAGGCAGATCTCTGTGAGTTCGAGGCCAGCCTGGTCTACAGAGTGAGTTCCAGGACAGTCAGGGCTGTTACACAGAGAAACCCTGTCTCGAAAAAAAAAAACAAAAAAACAAAAAAAACAAAAAGCAACTGAGTGAGGCTGGGCAGGGTGGCATGGGCCTGTGGTTCCGTGTAATTGTGGGACTGAAGGAAGAGAATTGTTTGAGGCCAGGAGTTCAAAGTCAGCTTGAGCAACTCAGCCGACTTTGTCTCAAAAAAAAGGTGGCTTCTTTAGGGGCTTGTTCTACTAAGATGGGTGGGCAGTGACGGGTAGATAATAAAGGTAACTACAGGGCAGGGTCTAAGGAGAGGAACTGTGGGAGGTTCTGGAGGTGGCACCAGGCTGCTCTTCTCTGCCCTGATAGTCTTTCTTGGAATGTAGCAGGATTGTTTGTTTGGGTTTGGTTTTTTGAGACAGGGTTTCTCTGCACAGCCCTGGCTGTCCTAGGACTCGCTCTCTAGACCTCGAAATGACCGCCTCTTCGCCACACACTAGTTTGAAGCAAGTTAGGGCTGCTAAGGTTAAGGTAGGATGGCTGGATGGGTGGATGGCTGGATGAACAAATGAAGTAGGGTCTGTGGGTGCCCATCAAAGCGAGGATGGATCCCAGCCTCACCCAGGCATTGTCTCAGTTGGAGACTCTAGGTGGCGCTACCAGGGACCACCTGAAAGGGGAAGGCTGGGGTGACCAGGTTCCCTGAGAGCAAGGGTGGTCCTGGGGCGGACGCCCAGGCCTGGACCCTGCCTGTGCCCTACCTAACCTGCCCCTTCAGAATCCAGGGCACTCAACAAAGACCAGGTGAAATTTAATCTCTGCTGCGTATCTGGCAGACAGTAGACGCTAGGGAAATGTTTGACAAACGGGTGACTCTGCCGAGGGTTCCTCCCCCTGGTACCGCGAGCGACATCACTAGACCAAGGGTGTTATCTTTTCGCTTCAGAACTTTAGTGAGCCAGGGAACGCCTCGGGCGGGGCAAGACTGGGACTCAAGGGCGTGGTCTACTGGTTCGGGGGCGGAGTCCTGGACAAGAGGGTGGAGCCTAGACCCGAAGGACCACAAAATGGGGCGGGGCCTACGCTCGGGGGCAGGGCCTGGAGCCCGAGGGCGGGGCGACCTCGTAGGGCTGCCTGGCTGCTCTAGGGAGTTTGGGTGCCTCAGCGCGCCATCAAGGAGAAGCTGCGGTGGGGTCAGGGCGCGGATGCTGGAAGTTCACATCCCCTCGGTGGGGCCCGAGGCCGAAGAGCCCAGGCAGAGTCCAGAGAAAGGCCACATGGTGAGCAATGGATGGAGGGGTGCGCGTGGGGATCCGCCGAATATCCCCTCGACGAGCGCAAAGGGGACCCAGCATTCCGGGCTAGGACGTCCATCTCAGAGGTTGGGGTTACTGGCTTTGCCAGTCCCTCAGATGATGGTCTTGAGGGATCGCGTGGAGCAGAGGGGCGGGCCGTCAGCCTTTTCTTTCAGGTGTATGTGGGGTGCGGGAGGGGTTTCCCTGAGCGGCCACACGCCAACTCGTCTTTGTGCCTTTCGAAGGCCAGAAAGTGGGTGCGTCTCGCGGCGCGGGTCCTGCTGCATCATTTGGACCCGCCGCCCGCACTCCTCCGCCCGCCCCGCTAGGTGTTCCAAGTGGAGGTGCTGTACAGTGGACGCAGACACACCGTGCCGAGGCGCTACAGCGAGTTCCACGCTCTACACAAGCGGGTGAGGTGGCGTGGACTGCCCACCAGTCTGTCTCCAAGCCAATCCCCTGGGTGGCAAGCGAAAGGGCTCCGGTTCCAGCTTCTGGTTGGCCACCCCCATTACCGTCCCAGTCCCGGGAGGGTGCAGATTATGGGCAACTACCCAAGGACTGACTGCAGGGCCCCTCTTGGGGAGGACGCAGTGGCTAGGTCCCAGCTCAGACTGACCTTGTCTGCGTGCGTCCTTTCCACTTTCGGGCACGTCACGTCTGTCCCAACCACCTTTCACCAGCAGACCCAGGTTAGAGCTTAAAGGCATTGAGGGAGGACTGGAGAGAGGTCTCAGCTAGGTGGAATGGGCTTGAGGGCTTTGCTGGAATCTCACCTCGGTAACTGATGACAGATCAAGAAACGGTACAAAGTGCCTGACTTTCCCTCAAAACGCCTGCCCAACTGGAGGACCAGAGGATTGGAACAGCGCCGGCAGGGCTTGGAGACCTATATCCAGGTGTGCACAGGATACTTGGTTGTCCCTAGCCTCAGGGACTAGGGGTGACCCAGAGAGAGATGGGGGGGGCCCACAACTTGGTTGTTATTTACCACTCCAAGCTCCTTTTTTCCAAACAATCGTGAGTGCAAACTTTTCTATCTGGATTATTTAAAGTTTTGAATAACCCAACAGGTAGATACTTCAAGATCCTTCAGCCCTGGGGTAAGATTCTGTGTTATCTTCATGAGGTGTGTGTGGACTCATTCCGCCAACAATGATAGGCATTATTGAACTAGCCTGCCCACTTTATGGGGCCAGTCTTTGCAGTCCATACTGGGTCGTGAGCTTGGTCTGATAATGCTTGCCTCCACTGCCTTGAAATTCTTAATAATTTGGGAACAAAGGTCCTCAAATTTTTGTTTACAACGGATTAATAATTAGTAGCTGTATCTGATTCCGGGCGTCTTCCGTCTTCCTCCCTAGGGTATCCTATACCTGAATCAGGATGTGCCCAAGGAGCTACTGGAATTCCTGAGACTTAGACACTTCCCCACAGACTCCAAGGCCAGCAGCTGGAGGCAAGGATGGCCCCTGCTGGGGTGTGACAAGGACTCTTTCACAAGCAGCTATGAAAGGGTCCCTAAGGACAAGCTTTCTCCGTTTTCAAATGCTGGGCCCTGGCCTGGTTCTGATACATAGCCTCCCTTACCAACTTTCTTGACCCTGGTGGAGGGGCTGGGTTTTTGACAGCTTTGATGACCCCAGCCGCCTCCACCTCCGGAACTGGGCTTAGAAGCAAGTCCCCTGGGCTATTCTGTGTCTCCACGAACTCACTTCCCCTGGGTATCCTTAAGCAGTTTACAGTGAGTGTTTCTCTTCTTTTCAGCACCCTGAGGGAATTCCTGCCTAGTGACACCAGGCAAGTCCAAGTCCTGCCCTAAGTGCCTGCTGCCCCCTGGTGGCTACATGTGAGGAGGCAGGCCAGCAACCTGTCTTCTAGTTCCTTCCTTTGTGGGTCCCTGCTGACTTTGGTCCTTAGCGTCCATCCCATGTGCGTCTTTGTGCTGCCACATCTCCACTCATGGTTCACAACTCTTTCCTCCTCACAGCTCACAGCTGCACCACAGGCCCGTCATTGGCTTCCGTATGGACCCCTACATTTACACCCCTTCGCCAGGTGAGGCACATCAGCACCTCCCTCCTACTGTCCTTTGGGGCCACACTGTGGCTCCTGTAAACTGCTTTGTAACTTACTTCATAGAAACTATATGCTATACAAGCTTACTTACTTCAAAGTATACAGTTGGTTCACCTGGTCTTTGCCCGCTTGTGGCCTGTCTTCAAAAGCTAACATGGACAGAACGTGGGCTGGGCAAAGCAAACAGTGCCTCCCTTTGGGTAGACAGCCCAGTCTGTGGGCGGCTCAGGGTGCTGCATGCCCAAAGCTGAACTCATGCTAACTCCCTCCCTCTCTTTCACTTTTCCTCCCACAGTACCTCTCCCGGAAGTGGTGGTGGACGGTGTACTCCAGGGCCTCTATGGCTTCAGCACTAGCCCAGCCAAAGGCTAACTGTCATCCTGCTCCATCGCCAATGCCCTGACTAGCCCAGTCTTTGGGTCACTTGTCAGGACAGTTATGTGCCTCAGTCCTAGGAGTTCCATATAAGAAACTGGGTCTTCCCTGGGACTGGCCTCAGGATGTAACTAGCTGAGGCTCAGTTGTGCCCAACCCCACTCAAGGCTCCGAACTTGGCGTGCATTGACAGCTGCAGCTGGTAGACCTCAAGACTCTTCCAAGTCAAGATAAAGAAAAAAGCATAAAGTCATTCCAGACACAGGCTGAGAAGATTCAGGTGTATTTCCCAGTCCAGCTTGGCAGGTGGCAGAAGCTACGGTGAGGCTCAGTAGCTGGCTAGCCATGCCTGATGACGAGTGGGTACCACCCAGGCACAGGCTTAGGCAGGAGCCCAAGGAAGGGGCATGCATCTATCGCCACATGAGAGTCCTAGACATGCTGGGATGTACACTCAGGACAGGTGCTACAGACACAGCCCACACCTAAGTTATAAAAAAAAGAAAACCCACTTTTTTTTATTGATCAGAATTGATAGTTTGATATAAAAACCAGGCCTGTGGAATGTGAGGGGGTGTGAGTCCACCCCCTCAGATGGAAGCATTGGGGCCGAGTGGCACGGGGCCTGTGACTGGCTACCTTCACCCCTGGGAGGGTAGTAATGGGACCTGCAGTACAGCCGCTTGGAGGGATGGGGTCCCTGAGACTCTACTCCTTGGCAATGGCAAAGGGCTTCTCCACTTCGATCTTGCCACAGTCTGCAATGATCACATCCTTCAGGGGCTTGTCCCGACTGTCTGTCTTGGTACTCTCCACTTTCCTCACTACATCCTAGAAAAGAAAGGCAGGAAAGGAGGGAGTGGGCAGGGTGAAGGTCGAGAGACACACAGGACTGGGAGACAGCCCCAAGTGAGTGGCTTAGGAGGGTTGAGACCCTCATGGGATGAACACAGAAACCCAAGGAACTGAAGGCCAGGGTGAATGCAGAGCATGGATTAGCTGACCCAGTACCGCCCAGGGTGACTGAACAGAGGTCCTGGCAGCTGGACAAACTCAACAAGGTCTTCTGGACAGGTTGTCTGGGGTCTGGGAGGACTTAGGACCTTGGGGCAATGGAAATGAAGGCTGAGTATCACGTATTTCATTCTTTTTTCCTGATTGTGGTGTTGGGGGCTGAACCCAGGGCATTATGCATGCTAGGTTAAGCACTCTCTCATGCAGCCACAGTCACATGGACACTCTGAAATGTGGTCTCATGTTGTCCAGCCTGGCCTTGGACTCCTGAGTTCAAGTTATCCCTTTGCCTCAGCCTCCCCAACAGCAAGGACCAAAGGCACTTGGTCAGGCTGTTTGTTCTTGACACTCCCCACCCCTATGCCAGGCTGCCAGGTTAGGAGGAACCACTGTTGGGCTGTGTCTGTGATTAGGTGCCTGTGGGGAAGATTTGCTACTTGAAGTCCTTGGTGAAGACTAGCGGGGTTCAGCCCTCACTTTTAAACTCACCATGCCCTCTAGAACTTTGCCAAAAACCACATGTTTGCCATCTAGCCAGGATGTCTTGACTGTAGTTATGAAGAACTGGGAGCCATTGGTGTCCTTGCCCGCATTGGCCATGCTCACCCATCCAGGCCCGTAATGCTTCAGCTTGAAGTTCTCATCTGGGAAGCGCTCACCATAAATGCTCTTTCCTGGGGAGAGAATCAGTAGGTCAGGGAGTCTAGCCAAGGTGGGCTGAACCACAACAGATGCTTGGGTGAGGATCTATGGGACCCAGACTGTCCTGTCAGGCCAGGCTTGACTGGCAAACAAGGACATAAAAACAGCCTTCCTATCTTCTACCCAAGCCATCGGAAACAAGACCACCTGGGGCATGAGGCCAGGCTGACTTGGGTGAAGTATGATGAGTAGTTTTATGACTGTCATGGGACATAATGTCAACTATCCTTGGCTGTGTCCTGAGGCCTATAGGGAGGGACTTTGCAAAAGAGATGCCTTGGTGCTATGCAGGATGCTGGGAGTGTGGAACTCTTTAGAAAAAAAAAAAGGCTGCTACAGCCAACCAGATTGCCTTTCCAGAGTCACAAGACAGGTGCAGCTGCAGAGCAGAATAGCAGATGGGGGTTAGCTGGGGAAGGAAAAATAGGACACAGGGCTGTTCTTTGGTTTCTTAAGAGCCAAGAGCCTCTTATCAAGACTGGAGCATAAAATAAAAAATGCTTATGAATAAGTGTCATCTGTCTGTGTGGGGTATGGGACTGGGGCCATGACAGTAAGCACAGAGCTCCACACCCTCCCCAAGATCCTGTCTGCAAAGCTGGTTTCCCCATCAATGGACTGATGGGCCTGGAAAACTAGCACCGAAGCAGCATCGTCTAAGGCTGCTGAGAAGGCTTGCACATAAACGAACTTGCTGCCAGGCATGTTCTGACTTTAACATGCATGCAATGGCATGTGCTAGCCAACTCCATATATATGCACAGAAAAGGCCAGCTGTGACAGAGAACGGCATTAACCCCAGCACTTAGGAGGCAGAGCTCTAGGAGTTCCAGGCCAACCAAGGCACAGAGTCACTTTCTTTGGCTCACTGCTCATCACTTCACCTGCATGCTAACCTTAGCTCTCAGCACATGTGTTCATCACACTGCTGTGGGATGTTCTGTATGGCAAATATGTTGCTAATTAGTCAATAAATAAAACACTGATTGGCCATTGGCTAGGCAGGAAGTGTAGGCGGGACAAGGAGGAGAATAAAGCTGGGAAGCGGAAGGCTGAGTGAGAGAGACACTGCCAGCCGCCACGATGACAGACAGCATGTGAAGATGCCGGTAAGCCACGAGCCTTGTGGCAAGGTATAGATTAATGGAAATGGATTAATTTAAGCTGTAAGAACAGTTAGCAAGAAGCCTGCCACGGCCATACAGTTTGTAAGCAGTTTAAGTCTCTGTGTTTACTTGGTCGGGTCTGAGCGGCTCTGGGACTGGCAGGTGAGAGAGATTTGTCCTGACTGTGGGCCAGGCAGGAAAACTCCAGCTACATCACACAGCTCCTCAGGAGGCCCCAGGTTAGGACCTGCCCCGGCCTGAGACTGACAAGGGAGATAAGGCTGACTGTGCAGCAGCTGGGGATGCGGAGAAGCAAGACTACATTAGATGGCAAGGTGGGAGTGAGGTGGCCTATTTATTTTCTGCAGTGATTCCTGGCTGTACACTGCTAACGCTTCCTATTTGAAAAACTTCCTTGGAAATCTTAGTCAACCATGGGATTTTAATTGCTCCTATTTCAATCTCTTCCTCAAGACACAAGGAGCTCCCAAGTTTCAAGAAATAAGTATCTTCTATCCCAGAACTTCCATCCAGCTGCCTTGCAAACGGTTAAGCCTCAAGCCCACCATTTTTTTTTTTCCCTGAGACAAGGTTTCTCTGTGTAGCCCTGTCTGTCCCGAAACTTGCTCTGTAGACGAGGCTGGCCTTGAACTCAGTCAGATCTGCCTGCCTCTGCCTCCCAGTGTTGAGTGCATCACCACACTCAGCTTTTTTTAAGTTTAAGGGTATGTGGGTATTTGGCCGACGTGTATGTCTTGGTACCACACCTGGGCCTGAGCAGACAAGAAGAGGCTATCAGATTCCCTGGAACTGGAATTATAAACAGCTGTGAGTCACCAGGTGGGAACTGAACCCACGTCCCCTGCAAGAGCTGCCAGTGCTCTTAACCACTGAGTCACCTCTCCAGCCCCTGGTGGTTGATTTTTGAGACAAGTTCTCATGTTGACTGGGTTGTCCTTAAAGTCATCCCAGAACCTCCTGCCTTTACCTCCTAAGTGTTGGGGTTCCAGGCACACACCACTACAATTGCCTTGAGTTCTTCACATTTATTATGTTTCTTAGTTTGTATATGTGTACTGTGCACACGCTCATGCCACAGAGCATGCGTGCAGTCAGAGGACACCTTGCAGAAGTCGGTTCTCTTCTTCCAATGTTTGAGACCCAGGAATCAAACACAGGTCATTAGGCTTGGCAGCAAGTACCTTTATCCACCTCACTGGCCTTTTTAACTTATCTATTTATGCATATATATGTGATACAAGCAGCAGGGTGTGTGGTACAAGCTACAGACTTGTATCAATGGTGGGCACCTGGAAGAGAGCACAGTCTACCTGATCCCACCTCCCTCTCCTTTGCACTGGGTTCTCTTTTCAAAGAAGGATGCAGCTAATCTCCGTGCAAGAGAGAGGCCGGCCTGTACAGCAGGCAAAAGAAGACACTTTGTTTAACTGAGGCAGCCTGGCCACCCCACCATGGGCACTACAATGTCAAGGCTCCTCTTTTCAGAGGATCTGAAGTTACCTCCTGTGCCATCTCCCCTGGTGAAGTCTCCACCTTGGATCATGAAGTCCTTGATGACACGATGGAACTTGCTGTTTTTATAGCCAAATCCTTTCTGGAAAAAGGGATGAGAGACAAGGAGGTAGCAGATGTCAAACTGGCCCTGCAGACACACACCTACAGCGCTTTCTGATATAGATTTGGCATTTAATGGACCGAGTGACCAGCTACTGCAGGACAAACACAAAGCATGTCCGTCTGGAAAAGACCACATCCCTAGCCTCGACCCTTACGCAGTTCCTGAAGGATGTAACTCAAGGTCACAATGCTTTTTTTCACCCTCTCTGTTCTTCTCATCCTAAGACGACGTGCAAGGTTTGGGATACAACTCAGCTGGCAGAGTGTTTGTCCTCGCATGAACACCCTCCTGGGCTCTACTCTGAATACTGTACAAAGTGAGCATGGTGCGCACACCTGTGACCCCAGCACTCAGGAGGTAGGGGCAGGCCTATCAGAAGCTCAAGAGCACCCCTGGCTACACATCAGGTTCAAGATCAGCCAGAGGCTACACAAGACTCTCAGGAAAAAACAAAACAAAACGAGCAAAGACGTTAAAATATAAATTTCATTAAATAGAATATATATTTCCTTAAAAGTCTGTGCTATGTTGGGCGGCGGTGGCACACACCTTTAGTCCCACCAAACAAACAAACAAACAAAAAACCCACAAAAAGTCTGTGCCATATTCTAGGATCAAGTCCCTTGGACCCTTTCTTCTCCTTTTTAAAAATTTGAGCCAGGCAGAGGTGGCGCATGCCTTTAATCC